AATCTTGTTGAAGGCGAATTTGATTGCATGACATGCACCATTCATACCCCGAAATTTTTTTAGTACATTCGGGACAATCTTTAGTATACAGTTGCATATTTGATCTCTTTAAACTTGAATTTTTTCCTACTACTATAAATACTTTATGCATTTCAAACCGTTACACAGACACAATATAATTTACAAACAAAAAAAAATTTTATTTATTATTAAGCAAATTTTATTTTATAGAATTGCCAGAAGCAAATCGTAGGACTTAAAAGAAGATAACGAGCAGAAAAGTGGCCACTTTCGCACTTTTTAATGTTCGATAATTTTTAAATTATTTAAAAATTAAATTTTAGTTTAATATACTGTAATATACTGTAATATACTGTAATGTTTCGGACCCTAATGGTTCCTGTTTCTAGTTTTATAAAAAAGTTTTTTTTTTTTCTATTTTACAATAATTTAATTTAAAATTTAGCAAAATTTTTTTCATCTTTATTTTATAAATATTTTCTTTTAATTTCACAATTATAAATTATTGCGAAATTCGTTTTCGCATAAGTGTAACATTCTAGGTTCATCATGTGTGCACGTCCGTATATGTCTACGTGCGTGTGTACGTAATCAACATAGTGTTTTCAAACTGAATTTCGGTATGGCTACATTCGCCACTGACAAAGAACTCAATGCAAGCACTCATTATGATGTACATTTGGGTGTAAGCAGCTTTTCGGCCATCTCTGGTGTCGAAGATCGCGACATTAAGCCTGCGACCGCCACGACGGATATTTTTGGCCGTTTTCAATCTCTAAAGGTTGACAACTGTACTGAATACTGTTTTGGCGTTCATTTTTCCTTACAAGTTCAATAATTTCATGATTTTTTGTTTGTTCGTAGACACTGTTACACCCTAATCTCTGCGAGTATGTGGAAATTGTGAAAGGAAAACATGGTAATTATTGAATTTTAAAGAAATAATTAAAACGCGGTTTTGTTATTACGAATATTATGTTAACAGTATACTTTGACCATGATGCAATTAGATCGATTGTTCGTTGTATTCGAATATCATTCGAATCATCTTGGCAAATTGTATCAACGCGGTGAAGATGGTAACATTCAAGTATCGAGGTAAGAGATCGATCAAAATGTGTTGAAATAATTATATAGGACATCCATCAAACACGTGAATATATCATTAATGGTAGCGGTAATATATTCATAAAAAGCTACGTCTTGATTGCCGGTAGTGTTTTTAAATCTAACTTATGAGTAAGAATTCGTGGTACTTTATCTTTTAATCAATTTAATGATTTAACATTGTTAAAAAATCGTATTTTTCTTTTTAAAAGTGTCGCGATACCGATGTTACGCGAATGGGCATTCCAGATCCTTAAGGCTCTTGCATATCTGAATAAAAATGTCATCACACATCATAATTTGGCTCCAAACAATATTCTCCTGGATTCTGAGGTAATTTTAATTTTTAATTTTTAATTTGTGAGACTCAATCATCCCATTCGTTAAAACGTTTTTAATATATCAGGGAAAAGTAAAATTGTCAGATTACGGACTATATTACATGTCGAAAGGTGGTGCAAATGTAGACTTTCCAATAGGGTAAGTATGTTATCAATTTTCTTACCGATGAGCTGTCGATTGTGATGAAAATTTAACTTTCATAATAGTTATCCGCATTACCTCCCTCCCGAGGCGGTTTATCGCTCAGCCGATAAACCTGAAACAACCGGAAAGGTACTAACCACTGGATTCTTCTTTCTATCGATGGAATCTTACTGAAATTGTCTTGCCGTTAACATAATGTAGGTGGATGTGTGGTCGCTTGGTATAATATTAGCAGAGATTTACACCGGAAATCTATTTTGGCAAGGAAACGACAAAGATATTGACAAAATTTTTTCCGCATTATGGCAACTTCAAATGGAAGATGATGTGGAAGTTTGGGAACGCTTTTATATATATGAATTGGGTATAAGTGATGCTATATTGGAATTTCTCCAAGGGACGGATGATGATGACTACTTGGAGTTCCGAAAATTTGTTCGAGCGTGCTTAGAAGTTAATGTGTCCGATAGGTATTCACCAGAGCAGTTGTTATCTCACCCATTCTTTTCATCAATATATGAACATGGACTTAGCAACCATCACAAATATTGGTGGGTTAAGCCTTTTTTGCAATCTCAAAAGTTGGAGCTGGATGATGATGATTTTCTGGAATCACAAGAAGAATCTCATAACAAAGATGTGCTTGATGGGATCCCGTTATCTCAAATTTACTACTTCTGGAAGCTAGCTGGTGGCGACGTAGAAACTGAATTGGCTAAAAGAGGATATCTTCTGAGTACACCACCAATTGAACGAATACCAAGGGCGGTGAAGGTGCATGATGGCAAAGAAGAAGGGACAATAAATGATACAGCCTTTTTGTATTCTGACACCAACTATAGTTTGTCCCTAAAGGAACTTCGGCAGAGACTGGAGATGTCTACTGGTCCAAACAGAGAAACATTTGAATGGGACACAGATTATTTTCACGACGGTGATGAAGATGACATGAATTTTCTAGCAGATGAGGTGTCAGATGAGGATAGTTCCAATTCGGAAGACGTATTACCCGAGAAATATTTGTTCCCAGATTTTATCAATAAATCAGGCTCAACAACGAATGGAACGACACAACCATCTAATAATGTGAAGTTGCCGTTGCTTATACGGGAGAAAGATGTTGGATACCAATTTCAAAGAGTTGCGCTGTTTACCGAATTACTTAGAGAATATCCAAGTTCACGTGATGAAATTATTCATCATGCCAAAGTTGATATACCACCTTTCTTGCGTGGGAAAATTTGGGCGGCCATTCTTGGAGTCAAAGGCGATTATCAAGCCGTTTATGACTCCTATGATAAGGAGACTGAAAAAGAAACAGACCGCCAGGTTGGTCATTTGATCAGCTTTTAAGAAGTAACAACCAACAATATTAACCCTATGATCTTTTAATCTCTATCAGATCGATGTCGGTAATATACTGAAATTCTTATATATTTATATTTATTTAAAGAGTCAAGGTTTTGTCTTTATTTGAATTGTCTAACAAACTATGACATTGTTAATTGCAGATGTTCCTAGGTGTCATCAATACCATCAGTTACTTTCATCTCCGATCGGGCACGAAAAGCTGAGGAGGCTTTTAAAATGTTTTGTGGCAGCGAATGATAAGTTGGTTTATTGGCAGGGTAATAATGATAATAATAACCTGTTCAATGCCTTGTGATGTGTACATGATACTTACCATTGGCTTGAATTCATTGCCAATGTGACAGGATTGGACTCTCTCAGCGCACCCTTTCTAACCCTCAATTTCAACGATGAGGCACTGGCTTTTAATTGTTTGCACACATTCATTCCAAAGTTCCATGGAAACTTCTTTCTATACGACAATACTCAAGTCATTCAAGAATACCTTGCAGTGTTTCGGCATCTTCTATCGTTTCACGACCCAGAGTTGTCTAGCCATCTCAATAAGATTGGTTATCAACCGGATCTATATGCCATTCCTTGGATCTTGACATTGTTTACTCGTAAGAATTTTGATGATTCAAGATGCTTCGTGTAATTGAGTACATTCTCCGTATATAATTATTGGCTTCCTTCAACACGTAGATGTATTCCCATTAGACAAGACATACCATCTCTGGGATAAAATTCTTGTTGGCCCTCCCTCTTTACCCTTATTTGCTGGCATCTCAATATTGCGACAACTCCGAGATGTACTCATAAAATCTGAATTTAACGATTGCATTATGATTTTCTCCGAATCTTTTCCGGATGTTGATATTGAAAAATGCATTCAATCAGCTTTATCGATGTTTAAAGTCACACCTCCTTCCGTGATCTATCGCGTACATGAAACACATTCGACATCTGATGGGCCTTCCGATTATGAAAACCAGGTATGTTCAAATTCGTGTATTTTTATCCTTCTTTATGATCTAGTTTTTAACCTAGCCTACTTTAGGATCATCAAATTCAACGTTGGTGGGAACAACCCACGCCTGTTGAAACGAAAAAAATTGAATTGGCACCAAGAATATCACTCAAAGACTTGGTCAGGCTGCGAAGCTATGCGTTGGTGATTGACACGAGAAGTGAACAGGAGTTTGTATTTTTCTTTTGATTCTGGTAAAATGTCAATGGGAATTTTCTAAATTATTTACGTTTTACATAGATTCGCGAGAGGTCACTTTCCATTATCGGTGAACATGAACCCGGCACACTTGGAACAACTGTCGCAGATATTATGGCAAGAGAAAAAAAAATATCATGTGGTGGTCGGCAAGCGGGGAGACTCTGGACCTCAGGTAAGCTAAGCTAAAGTTAGGATGTCGTGAATACCACTTTGAACTCTAATCGGTTTCTTTTGATCCTCTTGAAGTTTGCCGCTGATTTGGTTAATGCTAGTTTCCCTCGAGTGGCAGTTCTGACGGGAGGAATTGATGTCATGAGGGTAGATGCCGAGGAAGGTGTTGTCGTTTGTGCATGCCGTCCGATCAAATTATCGGTCGCAAAGAGTAAAGATGGTCCAATCGCTTATTGGAGATGTGAACAAAACTTGATGAAACAACCATAGATTGTATAGATATAAAATTTATAATATAGGGAAGGGTAACGTGAATGTCGACGAATCATCATTGTCGTCGACTAATAGAAAATGGTCAATGTATGTTTATTGAATGTAATTAGTTTTTTTTTTTTTAATACACATGTCGATTTGTTGATTGTTTAATCGATTTCGCGATAAGTTATAAAATATATGATTCAAACTATATGCCTCGAAAAAGCCTCTGTTTTCAAGTAGACTTTTTTTTTTTTCGTTTTGATAATTTCGACACATTGTATGTAAGCAAAGTCATTCATTAACATATACTGTATGTTCCAAGGACTTTATTGGTGCAAAGTAATAACAATAAATTCCAGCAGATATCTCATTAAAGATTCCCTCCCTCGCATTCTACATCTCGGCATGTAATATACAGATGACGAAAGTATATGCATTTATTTTCCACAAAATTATTCAATCATCAAATTTTGATGCCCAAGTTGACATGAACAGTTTTGACCTGAGTATACTCATTCAGTGCATATTTTCCAAGCTCGCGACCAATTCCAGATTCTTTATATCCTCCAAATGGACTATTACGATATTTTGAAAATAAGATTATTTAATTGATTCAAAACATAACTAACAGATGAATTATATATATTATTTATCTCAATAAATACTTACGTGCTGACATCAACCAAATTATAACAATTGACTATAAGACAATATGGTTGGTTAATAAAAAATAATAGAATAATATTAATGATAGTGATATTCTTATACCACATACCCCAAACAGTACCGGCCTTTAATTCATTGGAAAGTTTTAGGGCCCGAGTAATATTTTTGGTAAAAACGGCGGCGGCCAAACCGTATCTGGTCAGATGTGCTTTCTCGATAGCTTCTTCTTCCGAGCTAAATTTCGCAATCGCCGACACCGGACCGAAAATCTCTTCTTGCATTATGGTCATTTTTTCGTTCTGGTTTTTGTGAAGATCGATTTGTGGTCAGGAATTAATATAGATATGGGGGAAAAATAAGAATAATTTGCTGGAAGAGTTAATTACCACATCGGTGAATATGGTGGGCTTAATGAAGTAACCTTCAGCACCGTGCCTTTCACCTCCAATTAGACATGTGGCACCTTCTTTCTTACCAGACTCGATATACGACATAATTCTTAAAGATGAATTATGTTATCATCTACGCGCGTGATATACTGTTCGATTCGCCGAAAATCCTATTAACACGTACTCACCTGTCAAAATGCTGTTTGGAAATTTGTGGTCCTTGGCAAGTGTCGCTCTGGAATGGATCTCCGACTTTAATTCTTTCAGTATGCTCCTTAAACTTCTCGAGAAACTTGTCATACACCGCATCTTCCACATAGATTCTTGAACCGGCACAACAACACTGACCGTGATTAAAAAATATACCCATGTGAGCCCATTTCACGGCTTCTTCAAGATCACAGTCGGCGAATATAATGTTTGGTGATTTTCCACCTAGTTCAAGAGATACTTTTTTCAAATTACTGTCTGCTGATGCTTTTAATATGGTTTTCCCTACGGTCGTGGAACCTTAATAAGATAAAAGGTCAGTTCGACAAAGGTTCTGACTATGCTAAGTCGCGACATTTAGATATTTTTTGCGCCCTTACCAGTGAAAGCAACCTTGTCTATCTTCATATGATGAGCTACATTTGATTGAAGCCCAAAAGAAAGATGAATTTTTTTCCTTTTAATCTATTGCATACGAAATATGACGATCACCTACCAATGGCGGTTCCAACAGTATTACCATATCCATTTACAATGTTAACGACACCTTTCGGAAATCCAGCTTCCTTAAATAGAGCAGCGACCTTCAAAGCGGTCAAAGGCGTAAACTCGGATGGCTTAAGTACGATCGTATTACCTAAGATATAGAGATAATAACAGGATCATCAATTTGATGACCAAAGTTTCGGGGTGTAGCAAGTAGAACTCTTACCGCACGCCAATGCTGGAGCCAATTTCCAAGATTGCATCCCTAGCGGAAAGTTCCAAGGAATGATAGCTCCACAAACACCAATTGGTTCACGACGGGTGTAAGCAAATTTATCGTATCCTGTCTCAATAGTCTTCGCGTAAAAAAAAAAAATGGTGTTTTTTTGAGATAACCCACGAGAAATCAAAACATCACAACCTTTCCAAAAAAACTGGAATATTTCAAACTAACCTTTCCATGAATCTTATCACACCAGCCGGCGTAATATCTATAACATGATATCACACTGGGAAGGTCACTTTTCTTGGCTTCGCTGTAAGTTTTTCCATTATCCAGCGCTTCCAACGCTGCCAACTCATCCAAATCACGCTCTATTAAATCTGCCAGTTTGTTAAGTAATCGACCACGATCACTTGCACTGACATATCGCCAAACTTTGAGAGCCTCAACGGCAGCTTCAACAGCGATGTCGACATCCTTTTCAGATGCTTCGACTACCGTGGTGATAACTTTTCCATTGCTAGGATTGATGGTTTCAAACCGTTTTTTATCCACAGAATCTACGAATTCGTTGTTGATAAACAAACCGACGGGTACTATTTTGGATAAAATAAAAAATGGAGATAAATCAAAAATCAAACATCAATTTGTTACGATTACATTTATGCTTTTTTGTTTACCTTTAGTCGTTTTTCCTGTCGGAAGACTGATGTTCACTTCTTGCGAAGTCATTTTAAGAGTTCTTGTAAAAAAGGGAGATTTAGTTGGCAATTTTTTTAAGACGGATAGTCGAAGGTTCGAATCTTTTAAATAATTTTAAACAATCACATTTATTTTCACATTCCCACGATTGAACGTTATAATAACGTAATTTATTATCAGCTGAAAATGAAGAAATTTACCCCATTGATTGAAAAGCTCCGCGGAGACCAATGGCACAGGTGTTAAAACATCTAGAATGGTCGGCGGGTAATCGAAACCTCGGGTTGCCGAAAGTCCCAAAGATAATGCGAACGTGGGGTGACAATGATACGTACGTACATTTATTTAGCATCGCTACCCACATACATTGGAAAATTTTTTTTTTGTATTCTCAATCCTTCGACGTTCAATGGTTTTTATGTATGTAATTAGGTACTGTACATACATATACAGAACCTTTCAATGGAATGCGATCGGCCAATATGTATTGCCATTTTAAAAGTGCAAATAAATTACTGTATACGATTATGAAATCATTGATCAATGGTTTATGTTTTGTCAAGTAAAATATACTATACGAGTTTTTTGTTTATTCCGATTCATCGATCAAAAAAAATCTTATTGCCCGCTTACAGATCACAAAAAATTCGTCATTGATCAAAAAAAAAAATCATTGAAAATATTTTTGTTAGTAATATTAGTTTCGGTACAAATTCAAAAAAAATTATGGTTACTTCTTTAAAAAAAAATTATGGTTTTCATTAATGACATAATATTTAATAAGTTATTTTAAAAAGATTTTTTATTATTACTAGTTAAATTTAAAAAAAATAAACCTATAAATAAATTCAAAATACAATTTAAAATTCAAATAACAGAAAATTCAATCTTGAAAAATCCAATATATAGAATAACAGTCTTTAAATCTTAACTATCAAAAGGATTACAAGAAATGCTTGTTAAATTTTTATTAAAACTTCTATATTTACTTATAGATTTCAAGATCAGTTACTATTAACACTTCAATTGTTACAAGAATTAAATAGAACAAATCTTGTCAAAAGTTATCAATACTATAATAAAACCATCTTTCACAGCAGAAACAGACTTATCTTTTTAAGTAATTACTTTTATTAACTTACAAAACATGAAACCTAATAATATTTTAAATTTATACGATTTTATTTTAACTTTAAAAGCATTAATTATTCAACATTAAAATTAATTCCAATTACATATATTAAGTATAAAATGCGTAATTAGTATTAGTTAATATTATAAATAGGTTAGCATTAATTTATAAATTCACTTTGTAAAAATATTTGCTATAACTTGAATATAATATATATATTTCAATAAAGTTTGTATTTAATGCTTTTTTATAATTAAAATAAAATAAAATAAAAAAATAAATTTAAATTTAATATTTAAATTATAAAAAAAATTTTTTTAAAAAATTGGTTAAGGATATTAAATATGAAATTTTATTGATAATTTATACAGTATGAGTCAAAAATAATTGGACAATACATTAATTTTTATTTTTGTAATATTTCAATAACTAATTGATAAAATAAGATAAAAATTCATATTAATATATTTAAGAATATAAAAAACAAGTTTACTTAATAAAGTTTTTAAAATACATTATTAAAATTTTTTTAAAAATAATTAATTTTAGTTATATTACAAAATAGAATAATAAAAATTATTAAATTATTTCAATACATGAATTTGTTAAATAAAAGTCATAATAATAACAATATAATGATTATTATTTTTTTATTAAGTATAAAAAATTATTTAATAATTAACTTAACTTAAAATTTAGTCGAATTTTATAAAAAAACATGAATTTTATATTAAATATAAAGTTTTTAAAGATTTTAAAGATTTTTTAAAAATAGACCTATGAGTCTATAGTGTAGTGATTAACATTCCACAGGTCAGATTACAAGATATCAGTTCAACCCCAGGTGAAGGTGGTTGAACCACATTAAAAATGATATTTGAGGCCATAACTTATAAGAGCCTTGTTTCCTATAAGAAGTTATTTGCATGCTAATCCAGTAGGACGATAGAATTGTGATCTCCAAGAAAAGGTATGTGGCGCAATGATCATCTGGAAGTGGTACGATTATCATCAGACAAGGTACCAAGAACCAACCATGTATTTGAAAGTATAGACTGGGCTGTACTCCATCTTAACTAACACAGTTAAGCCTCTTCCACTGTTAATTACCGAAAGTAGAAAGCTTTGAAGAGAGTACCAATCCGGTGCCATCATGGGATGACATGGTTAGCTATGCGGTAAGACAGAATATATAGGAGTTATGCCCTGCTTGATCAAAATGACCCCTAGATTTGGCAGCTTACGCCAACCGGTCTGAATCTGGAGTATCTATTAGGAGTTTAAGAATCGATCTGTAGGTAGTGTCTTACAAACCCACATTTACATAGATCCTTAAGGAGTCATATCCCACTTGGCCAAAATGGTCCCTATATTTGGTAGTATCCAACCAGCAGTTAAAACCGGAGCATTCACTAGGAAGTATGTGCTTGTATCGAAGGTTCTCCTCTACTCGTATAATAAATTGAAAGAGATGTGATATAAAAGATAATCTATATAAGATAACTAACAGTATAAGTCCCTTATAAGCATATAAGTCCTATAGGTTAGGTAGTTTAAAACTAGTGATAAGATTTCTACCCCCTATAACTCCCTGGTATCACAAGGAAAGATTATTAAATGACAGGCTTCCGGGTATCAGATGAATAAAATTAATAGGTTAGCATTTAGTTATAGTCATGTATTACAAAGGATGCTTGATGTAATAAATACATTGTTATCAATAAAAAATTTGTATCTAATGCCGTTTAACTTTAAAAAAAAAAAAAAAAGATTTTTAAAAATAATTTTATATAATAAAAAAATAAAACAATTTTAATAATATTTATTAAATATAATAATGAATCTTTTATAATTTTTTTATAAGCTTAAAATTTTTATTTATTTTTATATTTAATTTTTTTAAAAATTTCTCTATAATAAAATTTTAATTTCCGTTTATATTTTATATATAAATTTATCTATAAAATTTATAATATATTTTTAAAAAAATTTTTTTTGACTTTAAATCAATATTTTCAAATAAATTTATTTAATTAGATTATAAAATATATACAGTATATTTAAAGTTTTATTCTAATTAAATTATTATTTTTTGAATTATAATAAAAAAAATCAGTTTAATTATTTTTGATCATACTGTATATCTAATCATTATATCAAATATTTTTATAAGCTAAACTATTTATTTTTATTTATTTTTTTTTAGCAAGTATTAAATGTATAGTTTTTATTAAACTTTTGTTATTTATCAATATATTAATAATCTTTATAAAGTAAATTAAAACAAATTAAACTATTTATTTTTTTTTTGATACTAACTGTAGATTTTATTAATCATTTTTAAAGATTACATCTGTATATAAACAGTCTATTAACTATTATTAATATTAACTGATGCAGTACAGTTCAATTAAATATATTAACTTATATCTTGAAAATATATTTATATATTAATATTAAAAAAGGTGAAAATCCTACTACTAGTAAACTAAATTATTTATTTTATTATTTTTTTTTTTTTTGCTGCAAACAAGTATTAAATACGAGACATTTATTAAACATAAGTTTATCGTCATTATATTAAGAATCCTACACCACCTCATTTGGTGGGAGTTAATCCTAGCCTATTGTATGAAAAAACCTTTAATTTGTGAGAACACCAAGTAGGTGGTAACAAACTATCGGTGGTTCATGAATGGCTAATGCCTATTCATAAACAGCTAAGTT